GTCTAGAAAAGTGTTGGATCCAAACTTTCCTTTTGTTCCCAACTCTCAATCACTCGAAGTCATGCAATGTCATCCCCTGTGCAGCAGTTACCTATCACAGAAGACACTTTGTTCTTGTGTTTGAGGCCAAGTTCCAATCACTGAACGTAATGGGGCAAGATGAGTGATAGATTGACACGATTAATTTCCATGTTCCCACTAGTGAGATTGATTTTAGGGCAGTCTTTACAAGCCACTGAATGCAAAGGAAAACTTGGCTCTGATCTTTTCATTAAAGGTCAAAAGGATGCTCAGATCTTCTTATAGAAACTCAACAGTTCAAATGCCCTTCAGGGTTTTGACATCTACCCCATTCAYATGGGTGTAGGCAGTACCTCTCTAGTTGCCTCTGCTGAGAGAAGATCCACTGGAAAGTTGCACGAATGTATCTCCAGGGTTGCTTAACTCCTAAGACTTTCCCAAATGGTTTTGTCTACAGAGCATACACTGAAGTTGAGTTTCACTCCCTGTTGATCTTCTAAAGATGAGCTTTGACACTCAATCCTTTTCAAGCAACCATTATCTCATCAGGGACTGATTGTAATCACTCCACTTTGTCACTACTCTAACAGGTATTGCATTGCACCCACCAGCTCTCACTAGCAGGAGGGCTGCCCTACCCTMTCTCCAAGGACATGCACTCCATACAAGCAGCCATGAATCATTAGCTAGGGGCTGAAYAGGAAACAGGTACCTGGCCTTGACACTACTAGAAGATGTTTAGAGATGAATCAGGAGTCTACTCCTCCTTACAGCAACACCAGTTATCGGGGAATGTGGCATTGGGCATCCAGTTTGGGGTCTAGTCTAATTTTTTTTTAATCTAAATTGAGAACTTTGCAGTCCCAAAGCAAAGTTCTTTGGGACTGCAAAGTGACAGTGACAGAATGGGAATGTAAAATAAAGCAGCTTCTAAAGACTGGTGTCCCAGTTCACATCGTATAAGCAAATTATCTTATCTTCAAAGAAGCTGAGAATAAAGAAATGACACAGGGTACCCCTCTGATGAAAACTCTGGCACGTGATGCATCCTCTCTACAGCCAGTGTTCTGTGTTTCGAGCCTTTCCTTCCATGAGTTAACATGAAGATGACTTGTTAGGCCAGTTCTAAACRTATGACCCACTATCTGCTTTCCAAAGTCCAAAGTCTCAGAGTCCTTTCAACTTGTTGATCACGTACCTTATTTGTAGTCATTTTCTATACAAATCCATCACACATCTCCTGAAGCAGGAWTGCTCCCCTGAAGATGTATTTTCTTCTTAACAGACATGCACACGTCCACCACACTTTTTTGAAAGCAAGAGAGCGGGGATGAACACTTTAGATACAAGAGTATCCCTTGTTGGAAGACAGGTTATAGCATCCAACACGAGTTGTTGGACTTAACCTGCTCAGCACCACTCCATGAGGTCTTCAAAGAGGATCCTCATCTCCATCTCTCTAGTGGAGCTTTCCCTGTGCCCACTGCCTGGTTAGGTGCCATCTTTCCCACCCCACCTCTCCCATCCACGAACAATGCACAGCCTAAGCAAACACCCTGCAAGTAGGCAAGCAACCCCAGCAAAGCAGTCCTGCTATGCCCGGCATCCCCACTCGCAAGCCAAGCCAGGAGATTCACCTGTGCGGCCCAGACAGTGAAGAATTGTTTGGAGCAAAACACWGTGCAATCAAGTGGAGATAGCAGAGGCAATGGGGTCAGGCAGGCTGCCTGGGGCATCTTTCATCTCTGACTTCAGGAGGTGGGGTGTAAAGTGTGAGTTGGCCGGGCCTGAGGCCGGCTCAAAGGCAGCCTTGTTCTGCCAGCTATCTGCCATCTCTCTGATGTCACAGGTTTCGTTTGGGCAGCTCACTTCAAAGGCCCCCTTCTTGTGCTCCCTCCCCTCACCTTCTTCTCTTTTGGGTTCAGATGTTGCTATTTGGGGGGATAATAGCTTGGCTTTCCCAAAAGCATTTTGCTGCGCAATAAAAATCAAAGATGCTTGAAGAGCAGCCGCCCCTGTTAATCCAATTGAGACAGGGCAGGGCTGGGGCAGGCAAAGGGAAATGAAGATCTCTTGCTCCCTCCTTTCATCCCATGCTCAAACTCTCCATGAGCATCAGCAAATTTGGGCCTATCCTATAGCATCCCCATTCCTGCTCCATGGACAAGCCCTTGTGTTTTTAAACTAAACATATATGTCACAAGGAACCTCTGTGGCCTAGTTTAACAGCATTTGGCTCCTGCCATCAGTATATGTAGCTTCATACACAGAGGTCAAGTTTTAGCTAGGGTTTCTAGGGCCTGCGRTAAAATCCTCCTTAAAATCATATCAAATACCACCACCTTCCAGAAGATGAGCACTCTGGTCTCTCTAGAATMCAATTCACCTCCTCCAGTCTAGGTTTCCCTACAAACTTTGAGGTACACAAACACTACACTTGTTGAGCCCTTTGAAGTATGGCATACAGGAGGCCAGAACAGCAGCCATGTGTTGACCAAGACAGTAAAAGACATTCTCAACTGCAGCATCTTGCTGAATGATCTCTGCCAATATGCACAAAAATGCCTAATTCCATGCAGGAGAAAGGTGGCATTTCAGAAGATTAGCAAGGCTCTGGATTCTTCTCGAGCCATATGGGACACAGGATAGACCTTCCACTTCACACAGCTCCATGACTTTAGAGTTACCTGCCAAAGAATTTGTGTTGTGGTAAATAAAACCTTGGGAAGCCTAAAGAGCAGAATATATTCAGATATATTGTGGAGAAGGCCTTTAGTCAAAAGCAGTTGTCTATTTCCTCAGTCTTAAACGTAGTTAAGTTCATAGTCCTCAGTTATGAGCTGGGTGACTTCTGCTCTCTGGTTTTTGAGTTCAGGGATCTTGACAAAAACACTTTCAAGACTTTTTTTAACCCCACAATCAGATACTGAAAACCACCTGATATGGCAAATACTTTCCTCCAAATAAAATGTTTCCAGAAACAAGGGATTTAGAAGGCAAAAAGCTGTGGCAGGGAAGAGGATTGGGAGGCCTATGTTTGAAGAAGGTAGAGGAAGACTGGTCCTTATCAGACACCAAGGAACCCTTGGAAAGAAACTATTTAAGCTGTATCACCATGGGGTGATGAACACCTCACACTGCCTCAGCCCACAGAGATGAAGTATTTAATGTGTAGAGGAAGCCATGGCAAGGTCTCAGGGAAGAGTGAGTRTCAAAAGTCCTTGGAAGTTGCTTCTTCATATTGACAGCATGGAAAGAGGCATGGGCACCCTGAATAATAMCAGCAAGGGGCACAGGCCTTATGAGGAGCAGCTGAGGGAGCTGACATTATTTAGTACAGAGAAGAGGATGCTTGGGGAAGACCTTATCGCTCTCTCCAGCTGCCTGAAAGGAGGTTGCAGTGAGACAAGGGTTCATCTCTTGTCCTGTTGGTAGTTATTTTGGAGAAGAGGAARTGGTATCAAGTTGTGCCATGGGACATTCAGGTTAAGTATTAGGAAAAATTTCTACAATGAAAGAATAGTCAAGCATTAGAACMRGCTGCCCAGGGAAGTGGTRGAGTCGTTGTCCCTTGCAGTGTTCAAGAAACATGTAGATGAGGTGCACRGTGAGGACATGGTTTAACAGATACGGTGTGGAATGGCTTGTGATTGGACTCAATCTTAAAGGTCTTTTCCAACCATAGTGATTTTGTGATTCTATGATCAGAGGAAGTAGCCTCTGCTCYCCAAGCCAGGTGACCACACGAGGATTTAAGAGACTTGCACACACTACTTGCAGGTATTAAAAGTTCACCGGGTCTGTAATAGCAATCTGTCAGCCTCTTGCTAATCCCTCTTGACAGAAATTTTATAAGAAGCCGAAGTGTACTAAATAGTCCTGGAGTTTAAACAGAGCAAAGTCAAGAAGGGAGGTTTCACATGAAGTTTATCATCCTTGGACCCCTGACCAATGGCCAAGTTGGGGTTTGGCTCTCTAACCTATAAGCTGTCTCTCCTAGCCAAGACATAAGAGCCCTTTAGAAGGCACTGTCACCCAAACGCAGTGGAGCTGCCCCCGAGCAGCTGACGGGCTGTCCCGCGCCCAACTGGCACGCTCGCCGCCGCCCTCGCAGCACAATAGCCGCTCTGTGCGCTCCACGCAGCCGCTGCGCTCCGGGATGCGGAGAACAAGGCCCTGGAAGGGGCCGCAGGGCTGACGGGGGCCCGGCTGATGCACCTGCGCTCACCTTGGAGTCAAGAATGCAAATAATTCACATCTGCAAAACCTGGGAAACCCATTAGCTATGAAACTGGATACATTCGTCCTGCTCGGGAATTTTGCCCAAGTCTGTGCATCGCCACGGTTTGGAGGATGGTTTTATCGGCTGATTATCACAGAGCCCTCAGTCTGGGCTGCATCACACAGGTGGTTTGCCTAGGATGGTATTTTGTGGCCTCAGGTACCTGAATGTTAACGGGCAGGATGCCCAGGTGCCCTGTATCCTGGGGAAAGCAGTGCTGAGTCTCTGCCAGGACACCCAGCCCATGGCACTGAGCGTGGCACACCAGGACATTGCACACCCAAGCACAGCCCAGCACACGACCACAACGTGCCCTGCACTGAAGGACCAGTTCTCCTCAGTCTTCAACATAAATACAGGCTTACAGTTGCACTAGACTTTAAGGGCCRTCAGCTGAGACCCCACATCCACATCACCAGGATTGGGAGCACATTTTAGGAGCAAATTTGTGTTTGCTGGCACCATTCTGAATATGCCTTGCAGTCAGATTGCTCTRGAGCAGCTGGCAGAGTTTCACCATCATCGCTGTATTGCACTACTCAATGTCAGGCATTTCCCAGGCCTTTCACCTTCAGTTAAGGATCCTGCTACTCCCTCCAGAGAGATCCTATACAACAGACAGCTTCACAGGAGTCACAGATCTCAGAGTGACTCAAATCATCTACAAAGCARCCCGTTCACTGCTAAACTTTCACTCTTCCAGAAGTCTGTTTCACCCTCAAGTTCTCTAGAACTTGAAAGAGGAGCAGGGAGAGAAACCTTTAGAGAGAAAAATGAAACAGTTTTCTTTATGCCAAGGCACCAGTTAACTGGACCAGAGGCCAAGAAATAACATCATATCACTCCCCCATTTTGACCCATTGTCCTTACTGGGAGAAGGAGTTATCCAGTAACAGAAGAGTGCCTTCTCCACCACTCTGGCATGYTCATAGGAATTGGCTCAGCTGAGTAAAACTCACAGGGTCCCTCAGAGGCACCTGCTGGACAGCAGAATGACAGTAGGTCTGTGAACAGCAAACCTGTGAAGTCTTATTTCCTGTGGCTTTGTGCATCTCCTYGATGGGCTGCTGTGCCAAGAGCTGTGACCCTGTCTTGACACTCCACCTGCAAGTGCGACTTTGATAACAGAGCTCTCCAGCATAACTCCTGATATCCAGCAAGGGCTGTCCTCACACTGAAGTCTCTCCTTGGCAGGGGAAGAGAAGCAGAGGACAGAGCTATTTATAGACTCCTTCATCTCTTTATAAAAGATCTGCAAGCCCCATTTCTTTAGTTTATCAGAATAGATTGAAATTAGCCAATAACTCCAAGAATTATTTGGGCAAGGAGGAGAGAGAACAGTTACATAAGCCCCATTTGCAAGAAGTGAGTAGAGGCAACATAGAAGCATTGACAAGGAAAAATACCTCCACAGTGAGAGAAGAACAAGATTCACCATCAGTCTTGATGGGATGCAGCAGCAGCTGGAAAGGGAGCACTTGTCATGGAGCTGCTGTGATGCAGTGCGGCAAACTCCACCTGGAAAGAAGGATGGAAGCAATGCAAACCAGGTAATTTATTATCAAGCCCTCACATGTAGACAGTCCATTGACTGCTTGCTTAGGAAGCACCTTGAAGCAATCCCAGAGGGCTTCACAAATTAGCACTGTCATTTTTCCGAGTCCCCTTCTCCCCTCCGTTCCAGCACTTTGTCATCGTCTTCATCGGGGAGCAAAGTTGTTCCCAGGTAACCAGATCCCYCCCAGCCACAATGCACCTACTGTATCACACTGATGCTATCAGGAGGGGCTGGCGCRTGCACACAGCCAGGCAGCACCTAAGCTCGGGTGGCCTGAGGCTCCAGGGATGAAATAAATTTCCTCCCCCACCAGCACAGATCAGTTTGGGCAACCATTTATGAGGCGTAGCACAAGCTATGGAGCCCAACACATCTTCCCCAGGGCTTACCAAAGACTCACCATTGCTCACTAACACCTCGGTTTGGGTGCAGTGGATCCCCTCTTCACCCCACGTGGCCAGATAAGTCAAAAAGACACTGGTAATTAAATGTTAGGCACATTATTTCCTCCCTCTGCAACTGGTTGCAGGAACTTGGCCATGCCTATGCAACAGCCATGGAGAATTGGATCTGCTTTTCATACCTTAACTCTGCGGCTCAGAACAGGCTTCCACGTGGAAATCAGACTCCCAAGGTCTTTCTCTTGCAATGGCTTCAGGGAGAGGGTACAGAGTGTGGGCTCCAGCCTGCTGAGCGCAGCCACCCACCGACAACTGCCCCCTGCCATTGCACACGCTGTTCCCACCAGAAGGGAGCCCCTGGGACCAGAGCCTCGCTCACCTCGGTGCTGCCACGGGGCCAAGCTGGCAGCACTTCTGCTAGCTCATAAGCAAGGGCTTTTGCTGGCAGCACTGCAGTGTCACCACTCCATCCCTCACTCCTCCGCCTGCTCAGAGACCCAGCAGCCGGTTACGGCTTCTGGCAAGCTCCCGTTAATCCTTTGGAAGAGTTTCACCAATCTCATCTTCCCAAACTCCTCAGGGCCTCTCCAGTTACTTCACGAATACCTACGCATACTCAACAGCAGAGCCAAGCTCTCCAGTCTTGGGAAACCAGGACTGGGTTGCCTGGACAACTTCAATCAGCCACCCAACGCTCAGGCGTTATGCTACATCTTTAGTTCCATGATCTCATGCTATATTTTCCATAAGGTCCTTACCTCATTCAGCAAGTGGACGGTGGTTCACTATTTCCCATATCCTCCTCAGTCCATGCACGCAGCCTCAGGGCCCTCTGTGMGTGCACATTATTCTGAGTGTGCTCAGCACATGCTTGCTTGCTCACAGATGCTCTTGGGAAAGGAGGAACACCACAAGTCTGAATGCTCCATAGACACCTCCCTGCTCAACCTTCTCCACACCGAGGCAGAGTTATTGCATCTGCACTGCAAAGGAGCTGAGGCAGAAGAGCTGCAAAGGGCTGGCCAGCTTTTGAGCATGGCTCCAAGATGCCACTGCTCAGGTATTCAGAGTGAGGGCTTGAGTGTTGGGGGCTTTCTAAGCAAAGCTTTAAGTTAAGCTATAGAAAGGCTCAATACATTAGCAAACCACACCCAGAGAAAGATGCCAAGGCACATGCTTAGCAACATCTGCAAAGAGCTCACCACAGGAGCACTAGAATGAKCTCACCACAGCACCTATATAGCCCAGTGCCTCAGGTGCCAGGCATTGGTACCGGAGGACTTCCTCCTCAGGTGGAAGCCCTCAGCCCACTCCCTCAGGYGGGGCTTCCTTCCAAAAAGCCTTTGCTCCTTCCCTAGCTTTTGCTAAAAGGGAAASAGCAACCTCCATTGGGGAGTGGGAGAAGGGGGAAAGGGAGAGACCATACAGGCACATCTTGAAGGACATGGGGTGTTTTAGAAGATTAGTCAAAAAAGTGCTCCTGGTCCATCATTTTTACTTGAAGCCACCAACCTAAAGCATGATAAGGCATTGCCTAATTCCCCTCAGAGAGACAGACACTTTGCCCCAAGCAATTTCCAGCCTACTTGTTCCTGGAGAAGGGAAGTCTCCATAGCAGTCACTGAGATCTGCAGAGCACCAAGGATGCAGTTTGGACAGGTCTCAGCTTGAGCCTGCCAAAAGTAGTAAAGCACCTCCCGCAGCAGCAAGAGGAACATAGATCCTGTCAGCCAAGACTCTGCAACACAAGGGTCTTTGCAAAGCATGGGATAGGTCTCTTCTCCTAAGAGCAAGTCACCATCATCCCATCTCTGTGCCAGGGAGTTTGCTCGCCTTCCCTTTGCTATTTGCCATGCAATGATGGCATGGATTTATACTGCCCTAACATCAAGATTCAGTCCTCCAAGCAGCCCTCTGAATGAATCCTGCTGTTCTCAGGCTCACCAAAGGAGAAACCTGATCCTCCTCCCTGAAGCAGCAGCCTGGAGGGCCCAAGGCAGGAGGAATCTGTTCTTCTTCACTGAAAGTCCTGTCAGTATTTGATCACTTGGAGTGTTTTGACATGGTTTTCAGTTGGCTACACTCATCCTCAGTCTGTGAACCTATACATGTCAACCCGGCAAGCACATGTCAGCATCCACATCAGTGTCTAGGAGGTCTATAGCTGACAAGATAACCTTTTCATGACCAATACATTGCTACCCAGAGGAATGGAGATAATAATTAGGTCTGATCTCTTACAAGATAAGGAAATTGCTCACCTTTTTACACCTACAGAGCTTCTGATCTTTTTCCTCCCTTTCTACTGCAAGTCTTTACCATTTTATAAAGTCTCTAAGTGAATTTTCTGTGCAGAAGTTGACCAGCGGGAGAATAGACTTAGAAAAATGCAAGTCAAATTTGGACAGCTGGTGTTACCTGGTATCTTGTTCACAGATCAGCCTTAAGGACAAGGCATTCACTTAGGGTTTTGAGCCATATCATATGTCACAGCACAATTTTTTTCTAATAACAGGTGATGCTTTGTGCCTGGAACAGCATCAGTTTAGATATCAGACATCTGTCAAATGATTCCACTCTTCAAAGGTGACAAAGGCAACCATCACTTTGGCCTCCCCCTCACCTAGCAAATAAACAACATGTGCCCCCTCCCATGGCAAACCCTCCTACCGGCTCCTTTCATATGTACAGTTCTTGACCACACCACATGGGCTTCTCCCTCACTTCCACTGGTGTTCAAGCACAACTCTTCCTGCAGCACCAAACATTGCCTTACTGGGAAGACATTCACTTTGGGGTCTCCTAGTGTCCACATTTCATCTGTGGTAAGCCAGCACATGGCCACTGACCACTGGGTCACCTGTTGGGTCAGGTTATTTTAAGCAAGCCAAGGATCCAGTGCTTCTTTATCTGGAGAACATTTTTTCCAGACAGTGTCCTCTCCTGAGTCCAGTAAGGTTGCTTGCTCCTGCTCCAATGTCTGTTCATTAAAAATCTGCTAAAGATACATCAAAATATCAAGATTTAAATCCCCAAATGCAAATCCAACCTTTTCAGCCAACACTGGCCAAGACAATTTTGGGTTTCATTCCAGTGCACATCTGCCCCAAGCCCCTGTAACATCCATTCACAAAGAGCAAGTTAATTAACGTAGTATCACTCAAAGCTTGCTCGTTCCTGACTATCAGTATCATCTAATCAGTGTCCTGAACTGAAAAGTAATCTCAGGTTTGATCTTGCCTTGGCCACCGACCTGCATCTGAACAGAGGGGGCTTTGTTCATTCAGAGGCAGATATATGAAGGTCAGCGCTCAACCCCTTCCCATCGTTGCCCTTGCCATGGAAAGGGAGGCAGAGCCTGTTTTCAAATCAGAACACTTTTTTTTTTCTTCCCAGATTTGACGGGAGCCTATCCTGAAAACCCCCATTTCAAGAGCAGACTCAGGCTTTCAATGCAGTATTTGAGTAGTGCCCCAAAACAGCATCTCAGAGGARCCAGTCCAGGACCACAGAGCCTCCATCTGACCATCCACCCATCCAACAAGATACCAGCCTGAAAAGAAGTTGCCTGCTCCGCAACAACCCCATCATCTCAGCAAGTTCCAGTAGGTTCTGAGGTTACAATTTTTGCTTTGGTTTGGCTTTGGCAGGATTAGTCTAGACCTTAAAAYAAGGGATCCCAAACACCACATCAGGGTGACAGGACTGCATCATACAGTTAGAAGCTGGACTTACGCTCAAACTGTGTCAGACAAATGCATCAGCTGGCAGGAAAGGGAGAGGTTTAAACAGTGAGCCCCACTGATATTACCAAGTGAGGATCCTCCCCCTTCCAGCGGGCTGACCCTGAACAAGTTACATATTATGTATATGAATTCTATACATATCTACATAATCACCTTGAGATGTTGGCATTATATTTCTGCAGRTTTTTCAAACAAGTAGGCAACTAGYGTGCGTGTGAGAATGGCTTTCACATCCRTTTTATTTGGGGAAAAATAATGTTATGTTCAAACTGCTAGCTATGCTTAAGGAAAGCCAGGCTGAGGTAGTGAACATATTTCAAATATGACATAGGCGTGGGTGAGAAAGGAGAAGCTTTGGGGCCGGCGTCCAGACCTCGCATGGGTGCAGACAGAGATGGAGACCAGCCCAAGTGGGACCTGTGYTACCTATCTCCTGCAGCCCCTCATCAGCAGAGCCACGGGGAGCGTGTGGAAGCCATCGTATGCCTGAATTGCCTCTAGTGCCCATTTTCCTGCAGGTCACAGGAGAATTTTGCCTTGAGACTCTGYAAGGGAGCYGAGAATTGCCTCGCGCTGTGACCARCGTTGCCAAAATGGCATTTAGATGAGCAAGGCCTCAGGGCTGGCTTTGACAGTCCCAGCTGCGGTGCACGGGCAGCTAAACTCCAGCTCTGAGGTCAGCCGGAGGTTTCACCGTGCAGGAGCCGTCATGGAGAGCAGGTCTCCTCACCTGGCGCTCTGGGAGCAGAGCTGAGCCTTGCTGCCCAAGGCCAGATTCCTTTCATTCCAGCTGACAGGAGCAATCCCCTTGCCACTCTCCCTCCACGACTCCTTCCCAGGAGCGATTAAGGAACGTCTTCATGCCCAGAGGTCCCGACAGGCAACCTGCCATGCAAACCAATCCCCCTCCCTTGCCTCCTGGGGCTGTGTCTGGCCAGAAGAGCCTTTGCCCAGCCTTTTGGGTCTGTTTCAAGAGGACAGRCGCTCTACATTGCTGCGTGTTTGGGAGGGAGATGGGAGGTATTCATTTTCACTCCCCTCCACCCCACCCCAGAAAAGCCAGAGGTGTCTCTGGAGACTCCCCCGACCTCCCCTGCTATGGCTCAGCACTGAAGTCACTCCTTTGCTTCTGACATTCCAGTGCTTTTTTGCCCTAAAGGAGAGCAAAAAGCCTCAAACCCCCAAGAAATTCAGTTCTTTTCCTGGAAACCACAGTTTGAAAAAGAAAAAATGCATGTTTTTTATATGCAGTCAACTCATTTTGGAATCTTCTGTTCCATAAGTTGGGCTTTGACAGCATGTGGTATCACAGGAACAGCAGAGCAGAGTCAGACAAAAAGCAGGAAGGAGAATGACTTATTTGGAGTGTCTCAGACAATGAGTTGTGGGTGTCTGGTTTTTTTCCTCCATCCCCAATCTGCTGGAATCGTCACGTATTCACAGAACCTCTCCATATCACGGAGATAAGGGCAATGTCTGKTGGGAAATACCCGCCCGTATCTTTCCGGCAGTCCTGATGCGGAGCACCTCATGGCCAAGGCATGGAGAGCAGGGAGGAAAGCACACATGGGGTAACATGACTTGCAGCAACTCGATCTAATGGGCCTTACAACCTTTGTCTATTGGATAGTCTGGGTGTCCATGCCCTGGCCCCCAGGCAAAGGAAGGAAACCAGGACAAGGCCAGAGGAGTCAACTGTTCCCATCAGTAATCGTACAACCTCCTTAGAACCACTGCATCCTCTCTGCCATCTTCAGCCACAGCCATCGTGGCAAGTGTCATCTGCTTGGGATGCGTTCTTGGCAGACCCAAATTCATTCACTTGTCCTCCAAGGTCCTGCTGGGCTTGGTGAAGAGCCCAGGAAAATCCTCCCTGCCATCTCAGCTGGGTGTCAAAGACAGGAAACACCCTCCAGATCCACCAGTCTCTCGCTATTGGCATCAGAGGAAATGTCAAGGATTGATTTAGTCTTAGACTACAGAGTATTTGATATCTAAAACCCAAYGAGCAGAAACTTTCCCTGTGTCTCACTATACCCTACCCAACATCTTTKTTACTTTGGAGATATTTAAACCTTTCCCTTTATGAGTCACCGGGACACCTCACACAATAAGACACCAGGCATTTTTTCRGAGTTTTATGTTTGTTTGTTTGTTGGTTTTGTTTGCTTTCTTTTAATTTCTCCTTGGTATGCGGTTTCTGACAGTGTGTCAGCATCTCCTGCTGGGTCAGCCACCTCCCGACCCCATTACATTCAGTGTCAGCTCATGCCACGGCGAGGAGCCAGTGTTTCCAGTCCCACAGTCACTTGCATGTCTTTACAGGTTGTTGCCTACAGAACTTGTGAACAGCAGCACAAAAGGACACAATGCATGAAAATTAGTGTAGGGATGAGGAGATGTCGGCTGGCCCTGCCTGGCATTTCAA